TATCAAAATAAACGCAATTCATCTTTTGTGCTTAATAACTTTCGAAATACTATTTCAAGTTAAACGCTTTTAGGCTTACTTCAAAGCCTGTTCTTTTCTCTTTCAAACAAACTATTATCCTTGTCTCCAATGCTAGTAATAATTGCACAGGAAAAGATTTAGTAAAACTTATCATTTTTAGTTGCTGTTTAATTATGCAAGTTTACTATGTTATTGTTTAGTCAGTTTAAATGTTAGAATTTTCTTCTTTAAACTTTAATGTTGTCGTCACTACATCTGGAAAACCACGTAAGAACAAATTAAAGTATTTTAAAAGAGACCAGGTTGTTTGAAAATCCTAAACGAATGCTAAAAATCATCAAAACATTCTGGTGTCTGAGCCAGAGTGTCATCGAATTGCGATGTAATGTAAAACAGAAATTATAGCAAGCTGATGTCAGTCAGCTTAGATGGTCCAAGCCAAAATTATATCGCATTTGAAGTTTCAAACTGTGTTAAAAATAGTGGAAGAAAAGCCGTAATTATACTTATTGTTACAATCCATTTAATAAAATGCAACATTTGTTTGTTTTAATGAAAAAATCAGTTATTTTCATGAGAACGATTTGTTATTCCATCTCAATTTTTTAATCTCCAATCGCAATAACGTAAAGTATTATTACCCGCGAACCAATGAGTCAAATTTAAGAAACAACCCACTGTTAGAAAGCTGAATGGCTACGCTTTAAAATGAATGTAAACTTTAACGTTTTCGTCTATTATTTGCTTAGCAATTTACATTTCAGTCGAGGATTGCGCTTTTTTTTATACACCCTGTATACAAAATCCTTTACGCTCATGATTTCTTTTGTGTTTCCTTCATGGGTTATTGAGTTTCACAAAATAAATGACAAATTTATACTATAAATCAAAAGAACAGGGCGCTGTTAAACACATAGATGTTTCCCAGGGGCCAGTTGTACGAAGGCCATTTAGCTTAAACGGTGGATAAGCGAAAATTAAACAACGCTTTCACACATTGTGTGAACGACTGAACTTAAATCTCATGCACTAAATATGTAGTTGCAAACATAACTGTTCTATTTAGGTTGGAATAATTTTGCTTCGTTGTTTCGTGAATGTATAGACTTGATCGATATTTTCTACATACAGTATCCACCGTTTAAGGTATAAAACGGCCTTCGTACAACTGGCCCCAGAAGTTTAGCTGTACTTTAGCATATATTAAATCACCACTGATGAAGACACTGAACTGGACTGTCGAAACTTTGGGTGGTGAATGTAATTTGAGCGGGTTTTGTGTTCATTCACTTAAAGTAGAGAGCAAAATCGTCTTTGATATGTAATCTCAGATACCAAGAACAAGTTTTTATACTCTTACCATAGTGAGATAATTCCATAAATCCTTCGTCTTCGCATTCCCGTAAGCGTGAGCATTGAGGTAGTTCTTAGAGGAAAAAAACAAAAAGGTTTATGGGTGAATATCACGACTATGGACATCCACTTTTTGTAGATGCAGGTCTTAAAATATCTTTTACAGGGCCGTCTGACAAAATGTCCGATGACGTTGAGTTTGGGTCGGACATATGTCCGATGACTTTCTGTTCAGTTTTGACTTGGAAATAAGTTTGAATGTCACAAATGAATATCAGCACATGTACAATGTATTAATACTGAACGGTAAATGTTGTGAATATATTAAATAATTTGTTTCTTTCACACTTATTTCCAAGCCAAAATTAACTTGCTTGCCAGAACAGCAGTATTAAAAAAGACTTCGACAACTTAAGCCCGTTTTCCACTTCACCATTTCACTCGCCGCCCCGCGCTCGACTACGTTAAAACATTCCAGTTCACTTTTTACACAATAGTAGTCTGATTTTCCATTTAATTAACATACAAGCCTCTAGTCCCGGGCCAGGGTACATTTTGATTTACGTTGGACAAAGCTACAGTTCGGTCGGACACCAATTCACTCGGGTCGGACAAAGAATAAACCTCAGTTTCACTTTGGTCGGACAGAATGTCCGGTGGCTTCCTCTCTACGTCGGACAATTTGACGAATGGGTCGGACAATGTCCGTGACCGACCGATATTTTAAGGCCTGTAGATGGTAATTTTTGTAGAGTGGAATTTGTATACATTTATTACACTTAACCAGGAGCAGTTGCAAAAAATTAAACTTTACAGATCAAGATTTTTGTGGCATCTTACTCGATTGAATAGGCCAAAAAAAAATATGTGGATTTCCGGTTTCCCGACCCTACCTAGCTTTCGGACGTCGAAATCCCGACCCTAAACTTTTTTATTGGATCATGCTTGTAAGTGTTTCCACTTAGAGGAAAAAGTTTGTGGAAAATTGAAATTTGAGGCAATATTAGGGAAATTCATCTTTGGATGTGGAAGCACTGACTAAACAAAATGGCGTCCGCTTGTTCGGAAAATTAAAAAAAAAGTTTAAAAAAAAAGTTAAAACCGACCTACCCTACCTAAGTTTTTATAAGAAGAAACCGGAAACCCACATATTTTTTTTTTGGCCATATTGGTTGAAGGGTGTTGTTGATGGAAATCATCGAGTGGAAATTTATATACATTTATTAGACCCATAACCAGGAACAGAAGCGAAAAATGTAACTTTAGGTCCCTGACAGGAATTGAACCTGCGACCTGTGCAATAATTTCCACCTACAATACCATTCAACTGTACAGACCCTCTGGCAGGAATTGAACCTGCGACCTGTGCAATAATTTCCACCTACAATACCATTCAACT